CAGCATAAGTAAATCTTAATAATAGATCAAGAAAAAAAAAATTTAAATATACGTAACTTAACTCGTAATGAATGGTCATTCATTGGGTCAAAGAAAGAGTCTGGATTTCGTGACCTATATCTAAGCAGACTGAGGGCCGAGTCTAATCTACCACGATCCTTTTCGCTCTTCCTTCGATGCAATTGTGGATACCTATAGTATCAGGATCACAGCGTCAAGCTTTTACAGCTTATTTGTCTGTTCAATGACGTACAGTGAACGTGGTACTGTCGTATAGGGTATTACTTGTCTTTCTAACAATCCCGTAGCCCCGCATCGCAACTCTCCCCTCTTGTACTTAACATGGTACAGGATCCTAACCAGTGTGGGGAGCTTGTTGAGATTCGGTCAGAAACTTCCGACAAATCATAAGCGGAGAAAGCCGAAAACTACTCATTCCGTAAACGTTCACGTATGATCGCATACTTCCACACATTGATATCATCGGGGTTTGCCAAGCATAACGGCTTCACCACCATCCGTACAGAGGATGCACTAATAAGGCTAAGGCTATTTTTGAAGCAGACATCAACCGGAAACGAAATCTAGATAGACAGTGAGTTACTCCACTTCTCAAATAATCAAATATGCTTGCGTTTATGCCTTCGCAGTTTTTCAACACGTAGCTAGAACAAGCGCACTGCGTTAAAAAAGCGTAGGAGTTAAGTGTCTACCGTGACATAGAAACGGATACCTGCACCAAAAGCTTGTGCAAACTCTTGTGAGGCGAGGCACGGACGAGCTCGAAGGCGAAGCGGAGCCAATGAGCGACCGAGAAACTGGAACCAGGGCAGAAGCTCTAGGGTCCTATCGACACCTAGGGCTGAGTGCCGATGCCGCCCTGGGATAGCAACTACCATAGCGTTGCTTATAAACTCCCCCCACACCCTTTCTGTTGACCGCTTTCCAAGCCATGCCTGGTATGCCCAGATCCTCCTCTCATACTCCCCCTGGAAGCCAGACTGCCGGATCACCTCTATCGCTTCCATAGTCCCTGCAGCAGTTCTCGCCAATGGGATCACCACAATTGGCCACTGGCACCTGTTGCTGATGTTCTGCCCTGTTGCACACCATCTCTGGCTGACCTGGCACCTTCGGCAGCTGTGGCAATCTCCTGCGTCACGTACCACTCGCCTAAAATGATCTAACTCTGTGCCTGTAGAAGGTCTCTCTACTTGGCACTGCATTGTCTTGTGGGCCTGCCAGTCCCTACCACCAGCACCCAGCACGCTACGCAACTGGCTTGCAACTCGCCCATGACGTGCTCTACCTCCTGCCAGCCCTTGGTTGCTTCTGATTGCGACTGTTGATACTCAGCCTGCCCCTCACTGCATCGATCACACCCTGCTGCTCCAATTTCCCTACATTCTATTCGCTTCCCATCCATGTATTCACTCATGTTGCCCCATCGGCATCCCTCACTCTTGATGAACATGGCTATTGCGCATGCATCTGCACACCCACTACTCTACTAGAACCGCCTCGCTACCTCGCCTTGCTCTACTATGATAACTAAGCTAGCAGCCTCACCGCTGCGCCCAGCTTGCCCACTCTCTTGACAGTAGTCTATCATGCTCCACGGCATGCCTACATGCAAGATAAACAGGATTCCAGTAAAGTCTACGCCAGTGCCAAGCGCAGATGTTGCTACAATTGAGCCCCCTTTCTCTAACGACTGCGTTAATCGAGTACCACGATCAGGTATGTCAGCACGGTAGCATGGACACTGTAGTGCCTCTGCCAGCACCGCACATTGCGCCTTGGATCGGCAGTAGACGATCCCTTTCATGCCATCCTGTAACGCCTGCATCTGCCGTCGGCTCATAGCTAGCGCTGTCTCTATTGCCTTGCACTAGCTACACCACGGTACAAAATAGCGTATATTTGGGCGTACTGTGCTGGCTCAGATATAGGTAGCACAAGACAGTAACATCCTGTGTAAGCACTTCCTCGAGCACTAGCGGGAGGGTTGCTGTTAGCAATACAATGGGGCAGGATAGTATGCGAAGATCTGTGATCTGGGCAAGCTTAGGGCGCCAGGGGCTTGATGTAACCACCAGATGGCACTCGTCAATGGAAAACCTGTTGTAGCAACTTCCTTTCGTTGAGTAGGACTGCATACTGCAGGAAGCTTAGGTCGCCGGCAACACCAGCACTTACCACGAGGATAGGGGTTGGGTATGTTCGTGCTGAGGTCCATTCTACGCAGGTAATCCCACTCTGGGATATTCTTTGCACGTGGTCCTCGATCAAGGCACAGTAGGGAACCACAAGTATGGTGACCTGAGGGCCTAGCATAGCAGCAGGAACTGTGAATAATAAGCTCTTCCCACTCCCAGTTGGAAGGACAACAATAAGCGGTGTCTGGCCTCGAACTACGGCACACAAAGGCTACTCTTATTCTACTGACTTAAACGAAACCTCTGCGTTCTTTAGCACCTGCTGCATGGCCGTCTAAATGTCTGTTTCAAGGTAGCTAGGCTCCAGCTTAGCCCGTTTCGGATGCGGGCCGAGAAGCTGTTCTGCTAGGTCGCTTTCGACCTTGCGCGGCCGCTTGGACGCTTTCCTGACCTGCAGAATACTAACCGGTTCGCCGGTTGACTACTTCCAAAGACCTAGAAAGTCATACCATGCCTCGCTGAGCGGTTGAAAGGTCTCAATCGACCAATTACTTAGGTGCTTAATAATGTCGATTGGCACGCTGTACACAGACACGCCTATTGCTGTTATCCACGAGCTCTGCAGCTCAATTGGGCCCTCGTCTTCAGCTTTGGGCTCCTCTCGCTCGCCTACCTCGTCCTAATACCCGCGGCTGAACGACTCTCCTATAGCTACCCTTCCGATGCCAACAGCGACGTGTAGATACTCACGCGTGTTAAGCGCTACGTCTAAATGCTTTACCGTCTCCTGCTTCAAGGCTGGGGTCAATCGGTCTGTTCCCCACGGGCCATGGCTATCGGCCCAGATGTAGTCGCTGAACGAGCCACCCAGCACCTTAACCTGTAGGTACTCGGCAAATGGCTGCACGTAGGTTAGTTCGATTGCATCTAACCTAGCCGTGCACGCAGAAAGCGGGGGATCACCTTGGGACTATCCCACTACGGTATAGATTTATGGTAGTGGATGACGGTCATTAAGATCCTATCCAGGACAACCTGGTTCCGGTCCTGCAGCACGCCGTTCCGGAATCGCATAGTCGCAAGCTCACTACCTCGGGCTCGCTGACCATTAAAGACGTGGTAGGCGACCGGCTTCTTCTCTAGGAAGTAGGTTACAACGCTCAGATATCGGTTTACATACCAGACGTTCCACTGGCCCTCGGGTGCACGTAGCTTTCTCCCTTCGCTTCTTTGCATCACTCGCTCGAGCTTATAGTGGAGTCCATGCATAACCCCGTTTTCTTCGTTAACAAAGTATGAGCCGCGGCGAGACAAGGTGATATCATCTTGGATCAAATCGAGCCGGATCGCAAACCTGCCCTCTCTGTCAGGGACCCAGAGTAACTTTTGCCACATCCCATCTTCGAGCTCGGCCATCAGGTCCCTCGCCATCTGCTGGAAGCGTTCGATCCTAATGGGCTTCCCACGGTAGTACAAGATCCTTTTGTCCTGCGACCATAGGGCTGCAATGTGCTTGCTGAACGCCAAGAAGCTAAGCAAATCGCTCATGAGACTATACGAGCCGTCTGCCAGAAACTACCTTCGCTTTGTCAGGAAGGCGTCTAGCTTCTTGTCTGCCTGGCGGTTGCGCTGAGAGGCTGGGAGTAGTACTTCTGCCCCGAGCACCCGCACGCAGTATAATCTTTTGGTTCTTAAGTAGTTTCCCATACGACACGAATATTGAGATGGTAAAAGATTTCCGGGTGGTTTTCTGAGGTAAGATTAACGAAATAATGTGCGGGTTACCAAATTGTATATTTTAGTAGAGCAACGATAATCGACATGGATTTATCTTAGCTATATAAAAGTCTGTTGGTGTAATGGGCTACGCCCTAGAGGTCTTGTCTCGGCCCAGGACCGGCTGGGACCTCGGACCCAATGTTAGCTTCGGGGGGCAGATATATAACTTCGGTAGCAGAAGCTTAACTTCGAGTCTTCGTGAATTCATAAATATTCATTCTAGCTATCTTGGCTCCTCAAGCATCTAGCCTATAATATTAAATTCACCTCTTCTCTCTACCGCTGGGCGAAGGGACTATATACTAACATGGAACCGAAGTTGCAAGGCAACTACCTAAAGGTATGGACTCCCAGCTAGGAGCTTCTAATAAGGAATAGGTACTCTGCGTGGACGACTACACGTAATAAGCCATTAATCTATAAGATAGTGGCAATTAGGAGGACGAAAGAATCGTCTCCCTCTTCTATAATAAATTTTAGAGCCATGGTATAGATGGCACTAAAGTAGAAAGATTTATAGGCAAGGTAATAACCCTCATCCACCTAAGAGACAGCCTCTAGGCTACAAACCACGTAATAGGCGTGACGGGCACGATAGGTACTATAGGGGGATAGGAAGAAACCCTAATATTAATAGGATTAAACATTAATAGATAGGAAGGACACCCTACTACTAATTAAATAAATGGACAACACTTAGACGTAATTAAGAGATTACTAGTAGAGTTGGCTATAAGTCGTAGAATAGCTTACTACCCTAAAATTGCTAACCTAGCGTACTTTAATGGGGACTAGAAGGACTACTAGTAGTTTAAGATAGTAATAAAGTATAAGCTATCTAAAGATTAGGGTAGGGTAGGAAACGTCCCTAGATATATTATAAGTAGGTTAACTAGGAAGGCTATAATAGTAGGTCTAATATACCTAAGTTATAACCTATAAAGGTTAGAAGAAGAGTTCTAGGAACTTCTTAATTTAAACTTCTTAGACTACTTAGTAGGAGAAATTACACATAATTACCTCCTAATAATATGGCAAGACTCCCGTAAGCTCTAGGACTTTAATATTAACTTTAATAACTATGTAATAGAAGTAGGAGAAGTAAATAAGATAACCCTTAAGAATATTTATAGGCTGGCCCTATTAACTAAACTTCGCACCCTACTAGTGATAGTGGATATTAACTAGGACTAGTTAATAAAGTAGCTGTAAGAAAAGGTCTCTAGGATTAAAGAAAACTTATATTAAAGTAAAGCGCGTTAGCTAGATTAGATAATAAAGGAAAAGGGGGTAGACGAGATGGATTAGGAGCCAATAAAGGCTAGCGCTGGAAGAGCCTGGGCCTCCTAGAGTAAGGGCCAAAGGAAACCTCTAGGGCCCAAAAGGCTACCCAGACTAAGTAGGACCTAGTGTAGGGCGAAATAGGTGTCTTTAGAAGAACTTAAGAGGCGTAAAGAGTTGAGGCTCTACTTCCATTATAGATAAAATGGCTACTAGGTAAACCACTACGCGCTTCTACTAGTAGAAAGACTAGTCCATACGTAGCCAGCCTTAAACCTAATAAATAGTAAGGTTGAAGGAGGGAGTAGAGAAGGAGAGACGACTAAAGAATTAGAAAACTAGTTCCTCCTAGTAATAGTCGCCGCTGGGAGGGGAAGATAGGAAAGGGACTAAATAGTTTTAACAATTTTAGAAGGTTATAGCTAGACTTAATACTAGTAATAGTACACTTACTTATAAATAATATTATATTTACTTTAATAATAATTAATTTAGGCTACTTAACCTTTAGATTCGTATTAGAGAAACTAGTTTAAAAGACCTACCTATAGCGCATATAGTTACCATAATAGAGGGAGGTCGTTGGTATAGGGGGGTGAGCTTATTTATTAAAGAGGTGGTAAAGATGACTATAGATATTAAAGGCCATAAAGAACACGTATGGTTATATATTACACTAGACGATAGTGCCTACGACCTAATCCTAGGCCTACCTTGGATGAAGAAGAATAGTGTTAAACTAGCCCTAGTAAAGAAGTTAATATGGATTAGTAGTTCGGGCACGAGAATTAGGGATTAGGAAGGGAAGACAGCACCTATAAGACTATATAGAGTAATGGCTATAGTATTCTTAGCCTTAAATAGACGGAACCAATAAACTAGTATTAGTGGAGCCTTTTCCGCCTCTATAAAAGACATCTAGAAGGCCTTATTAAAGAAGCCTAAACTAGACCTAAAGGTATACCTCCCTAAAGCCTTTAAGGATCTATGGCCAACCTTCTATTAGGAGCGAGCTAATAAGCTTCCCCCCCACTAGGGGCCTAGAGTGGACCATGCGATACCTCTTATTAATAAAGACGGGTGAGACCCTAAGATCCCCTACGGCCCGCTATATTATATGTCCTAGGAGGAGCTTCTAGTCCTCTAGAAGGAGTTAATAGAATATCTTAATAAGGGATTTATCTACGTTAGTAAGTCTAGCGCTGCAGCACTAGTTCTATTTACTAAAAAACTAGGGGGAGGACTTCACTTCTACGTAGACTATAGGGCCTTAAATATATTATCTAAGAAGGATTAATACCTACTTCCACTAGTAGGAGAGACACTCTAGCTCCTTATAAAGGCCTAATAGTTTACAAAACTTAACGTAATATAAGCCTTCTATAAACTCTAGATTACTAAGGGTAAGGAGTGGAAGATGGCATTCTATACCTAATTTAGACTATATAAATGGTTGGTTATGCCTTTTAGGTTGGCGAACGCCCTAAGTACGTTCTAGAGATATATTAACTAGGTCCTATAAGAACATTTAGATGACTTCTATTTGGCGTATATTAATAATATACTTATCTTCTCTAGTGGCTTATATTTGGACTATAAAGGCAAGGTCCAAACTATAATTAAGAAACTAGGCGCAGCCGGCCTCCACCTTAATATAGGGAAGTCGGAGTTCTACGTTAAGAAGACGAAGTACCTCGGCTTTATAGTAGAAGCTAGTAAGGGAGTTAGTATGGACCTAGAGAAGGTAAAGGCGATTAAGGAGTAGGAGGCCCTAATAATAGTAAAAGGGGTCTAGAGCTTTATTAGCTTCACAAACTTCTATAGGCGGTTTATTAAAGACTTCTCTAGCGTCGCTAGCCCACTAACGAAGTTAACTAGGAAGGGAGTTAACTTCTCCTAGGGATAGGACTAGTAGCACTCCTTTAAGTTCCTAAAAGACCTCTTCTACACTAAGCCCACGCTCGCATACTTTAACCCCAACCGAGAATTAGTCCTAGAGGCCGACATACTAGGCTGGTTAATAGGCGGTTACTTCTCCTAGTATAATAATAATAGGGTTCTACGACCCGTTACCTACTTCTCTATAAAGAATAGCCCCGCCAAATATAATTACGCCATCCATAATAAGGAAATACTAGTAGTTATTAAATACCTAGATAAATGGGACTATATATACTAAGTGGTGAAACACCTTACCATCTATATAGACTATAAGAACCTAGTATATTTCGCCTTAAAATAAAAGCTAGA